TTCTGTTTGGAGCACAGCCCCACATAGTTGAAAATTGGCATAATTAAAGGAAAAATGATGCATAGGGAATGGGTCTCTTAAACCAGTTCACCAGAGGTAAATTAATTGTGCCATACATGAATGGTGTAGGATCCCACTGAAGTAAGCAACAAAGCCTCTGTTGGTTTCACTATTGTGGTTTTTGCCGGTTTTCAGCAAAGACAAAAAGAGAAGGAGCTCTCTGGATGCTTACATGCCAAATCCCCCACCCATTTCTTCCCTTAATGAACAACAACAACAACAAAATCTTATTCTGGCCGTAGCTTGCTGCTTGCTAACTTGCTTGTATTCTAATATAATAAAAACTAAGCATTCTCTGATTGGAAAAAATGCTTATTTTTAAACTGAGGATTAAATCACTAATCATGAGCTATTAAATCCCAGATTATTAAATCACTAATTGCAGATATTAAATTATGCCATTTCCTAAATGAAGCCACACCCATTTTATATTAAGAAAACGAGAAATCAAAAAGATGGCTCTGGGAAAGATTCATTTAAAAAAACAAAACATGAAGGCCGTGTCAGTGTGATGATGAAGTTAAGATTTTCAGTCATGCACAAGACAGCAGATTCAGTGTTAGCTGTAATTTTGTACCTTTTCATCTATATATCATCATAGAGCTCCTCAATATACCTTTTGTCTCTTCAAGCTTTTTTGACACCTTTGCAAAAACAAACTATTCAGKTGGTTTAATTCTTTACTGCCTCTTTCAGCTATGAGGATATTTTTTCCCTGGCTCATCTTTTGTCTGCAAATGRGTTTGCTTACTATAATGATGGAAARTAATTGTCTCTCTAAATTAGAGCTATTTCTTTCTGTGTTGCTCATCACAGAATTTATTTCAACAAGCAGTAAAGTAAACAGGATTCTCTTATCCCTCCTTTCGTACGTGAGAAACTGAGACTAAAGCCAAACATTTTTTTGCAAGTGGCCACCTTGAATTCACTCAGCCTGAACACTAAAAGCTCTAAATGAATTTCTGCAGACTTCAGTTTGTGTATTGTGGCATGAAGACTATCCTGCAAGAGTAGAATTCAAATTCCTTTTTAATTTTTATTTTATTTTAAGACTGACAAAGAATTATGACTTCTACTTAAGCCATACATTTGAACTAGCAATTAAGAAGTGAAGGTTTCTTTATGTCCTTTTTGGTACCTTTGCACCAGTCAAGCTGTATAAAAGTCTTAAAAGTCAAGTGTGGCAAACAGTTGAACATATTTTTCTTTTTCACTGTTCCTGTCTGAGTAACCACGTTTTTTTCCTTGAATTTACAGCTTCTGTCAGTCCTGTAGTCTTAAGAGGCAGTTTAGCTGATTTAGGGAGTGAATCAGTAGATTTAATGGACTATACTGATCTTACTTTAAACAGCTAATTTTCGATATCCTTTGGGCTATTTGAGACAATCAGGAAAAGTGCTGCTGATCTGATCTGATTACATTTCGTTGTAGTCTCCAATGACTGACTGTTTAGTACATTTAAATTGGGAGAGGTGTTACCGGTTTTAGCTTTCCAGTTCATATGAATTTCAGTTTAGTAAAAGCTGGAAGTAGTTTAACATCTTTATGTGATGTCTTCATAAAGTTAGGCAGGCATAGTCCAAATGGCTAAAATTAAAAAAAAAAAAAAAACCAAAAAAAAGAAATTAAGAAGACCTAGCGATATAGAATGAAAGACGTTGACTTCATCTGAGAGCAGAACTAGCTGCTAGCCTGAATTCTCATTGTACAGCTGAGGCAATCTGAAGGAGCTGTGTAACTTTTTAGCTTGTGCTGCACCTAATTAATCTGGTTTTATTCTCATCACTAAGCTGAATTTAAAATGTAGCTATGTGCAAGTCTTTAGGCTACATCTAAAGTAGMCATTTATTCTGTGATGGTACTGTTGTAAGAATTCTTATGTCAGTGACCGAGCGAGAAGGGTCGGGATTTTAGTCAGTTGTGTGTGAGGTATTGTATTGTCCTGGTTTAACCCCAGCAAGCAGCCAAGCCCCACGCAGCTGCTCACCTATTCTCTCATGATAGGATGCGGGAGAGAATCAGAAGGGTAAAAGTGAGGAAATTCATAGATTGAGATCAAGACAGTTTAATAGCTGGAGCATAAGGTGTGGGTGTAAGCAAAGCAAAACAAGGAATTCATTCACCACTTCCCGTGGGCAGAAGGTATTCAGCCATTCCCAGGAGGCAGGACTCCCTCGTGTAAAGGTTACTTTGAAAGACAAACTCCATTACTCTGAATGTGCCCCTGTTCCTCCTCCTTCCCCTAGCTTTACATGCTGAGCATGGTGCTGTATGATGTTGGACATCCCAACAACTGTGGTCAGTTGGGGTCARCTGTCCCAGATGTGTCCCCTCCTGTGCACCCCCAGCTCACTGGCAGGTGCAGTGGGCTGAAAAGAGAGGCCTTGGCACTGTGTGAGCTGCTCAGCGGTAATGAAAACATCCCTGTGTTACCATCACTGTTTTCAGYGCAAATCCAAAACATAGCCCTATACTAGCTATTATTAAAAAAAMCCCTAACTCTATCCCAGCTAAAACCAGTACAGATATATGTGGAAATAGCTATACAGTGGGAAAGCACTGCAGAACAGATTTGCACATCCCCTKTCAGCAGTGATACTCCCTCTTATGCTTATCCACATGCAACAGGAGTCCTCTGTAATTCCAGAATTGGATACCATCAGTTCAGAAAGTTAGAATGTCGAATCATTCTGCATTCTGATGACTGATAATTGTCCCATAGACTAAATTTATGCAGATACTGTCCCATGGTAGTAGGGAAGGTGCTTTCTTCTTGAATTACAGTAAGATACTACAGTGTTTATACATGACACAGAATGTTAATTATCTCTGTAATTATAAGGAGAAYTTTAAAAATATATAGTCTTCCTAGATATGCAATCCTTCTTTATATTTTAATTGATCAATAGGTCTTATCTGTCATGTCAGACAGAGCCATTCACTGCACATAGCCCTTGGTTGTTTTATTCTGTCAGTATATCAGTGTGTTTTCTAGGCATCTTTATGATTTTTATTGGAAACTGCCAAGATACTCTCTGGTGAGGTTTGTTTAGATAGTATAGTTTAGAAATACTTCCTGTTTTTGAGAAACATCCTCTCTCTGTAAAGCCTTTGTGACGTTTCAGKGGCAAATTAATATGAACTTTTGGTAAAGATCTTCAGCATGCATGTCTCTTTTGATAGACTTCTTTAAGCAGCTTATCTTTAGATACCACAAGTTCTGTTGTAATTCTTTTAAAAGTTGATTAATRTTCAGGTTTAGGGAGCCAAACACCKTTKGAAATAGTTTAGATCCTCACAACTGTGTGACACCTTTGTGTTTAATTAAATCAGTAATTCTGTTAAAGCACAAGGTTATTTTTAGTGTAGTTTCCTTGAAGCTTCCATAAGAATCAGATGTTAAATTCAGAATTAGAAATCAGAGAGAATAGTCACTGTTGTGTGGGATGGATGAATACCTTTCCTTCTTCTCTGTCCTTCCACGTCAGCTCAGATCTCTTCCGGTTGAAATGAAGTACCAGCTAAGCACAAGATGTATAAAGTAGTGAAGACAATTCTTCAGAAAGATCTATGTCAACTTCACTGTACAAAAACTTTAGTTGCTCCTCCCTTGTGAAAGTCGGCTATGTTTGTGCATGTGTTCTCATATATCTTCTGTAGATTGTTGCCTAATTTCTTTTGATATCTGACTAACTTCATTGCGATTTCCTCAATTGCAGAAGTGGCARGAAACTTTTACATAACGTGGACTAATAGCAGGTTTATTCTGTTATAGCTGTTGAATTATTCTGCAACTGTTATTCAAGTCCCCGGGTATTTGCCATTTATTTGAATKATTGATAGTAGACAAATTAGGCCACTGGCGCAGGACAGTGTTAAGTATTTTCTGGTGTAATTTTACAGCATTTGCTGAGACAAGGCCCTGATCACAGATCAGGTTTAAGTCCCACTGCAGTACGTATCATTCATTACTGGAATGCAATGTTGCCCTGTTCAGTAAGGTTTGGAACAGCCCTGATTCTGGCTGTGGTGCAGACCCTCTCCTCAGTCTCCCTGTCATGTCCAATGTGCTGTTCCACAGTTGGCATGTGAGACTTGAGGTCTGTGTCCTGGGAAGGGACAGCTATGTCTCTGCCAATAGGACCGTGAAGATACAGTACATGTTTGTGTTCTTTGACTGCAGCACATAGATGAGGTCAGAAGGCCACCTGTTCTTCATTTTTGTTACCTCTAAATCTAGGTAGTTCTGAGTGGAGATGATAGGAATGGGCAAGGAGGTAATTAAATATAGGTAGTTTTAAAATATTTGACAGTTCAGTCAGTTAGTTAGCCTATCTCATGTATGATTWAGTAAAGGCCTATCTGTGGTGTCTGGGTGCCATGCACACTAGTCAGCAGAAAGCATTGCATGCTGCTCTCAAGTTAAAACCACATGGACTGAAGGGGTCTGTTGCTGTCTCTCCTTGTGCTAGATGATGAATCTTTTTGCAGCATGCTTTGAATGTGGGCTGACACAATACCTCAGGTCACTAATTACTAGTCTGTTTGAGCTATACCAGTGCTTGTCRCTCCTACTACTTCAGTGCTTGGCAGACTTGCAGTTGAAGAACAGATCTGGAAAACAAGGTGAGAGGAGAAAAAGTGAATRCAAGGTATCTTGAGTCCTGATCAGATGCTGCGGTGCTTCCTGTCCTTAAATGTTATTTCTCTTCTGACAAGCAGATACAGTAATGCCCATCTTAGTCATTTATGTTACTAAATGGATAACTATGAGGTTTTTTYCCTTCCTGTTGAACTTCTCATGCAGGGTAGATGAAAGTTCATCAACCCAATGGTGATACTGAGTTTCTTGTGAAAAAAATAAATCAAGTTGTAATTACATGTACTTTAAATCATGGATCTGTCAAAGTCACACTGTTATGTTTGCTGTTTGTCTGCAGAAGCTGGAAAAATCTAACTTGGATAACTGGGAGAATATCAGAGGACCCAGTCTGTGGGAAGATTCCAGGACTGTTCAAAAGCAACGGCGAGAAGCTCTCCGTCTCAAGACAGAGTGACTGAGCAAGCCTACTTTTGTGCCTCTGAAAAAGAAAAGAGTCTCGGGCTGGACTATCCTACTTTTTAATCCAGTGTCAGGAACAGACATGGGAGCAGTTGCACTGAAAATTCAGCTGGTGTATATATAAGTAACTGTGAGATCAGTCTAAAAGGCTCTGTATTATATGAAGCTCTTTGTTTGCATCCATTTGCATAGAGTACCACAGGCTGTATATCTGAATTTTCAATTAAAAAAAGCTGATTATTCTAATGAGAATATCCCATTGTTTTTCAGTCTCTAACATTCAAAACTGCTTCAGCAAGGAATAACATGTCAAGAGTCACTTGTCAGTACCAGAAGTTGTCATCCTAATGAGAACAACAGTGCAGTCATCTAGATGTGTGTGACCAGATAAATGCTGCTTCAGGGAGCTCTTGCATGACTTCAGGCTCTTTAGCTTGGAAGGGACTCCACAGGCATATGAGCTGTTCAGAACAGTGAGTCCAATTTTGGCTAAATAATACTCTTGTGTTTCGTATCCAGGGGCTTGACTGTATRAAGGTGTGTACTTAGTGTCAGCTGATAATTGGTCAAAAACATTTGTTTAGCTGTGGTTAAATTTCTGTGATTAGTTTGTCAATACCTCCATACAGGCACCACCGCTGCACTGGAACTTCTCATTTTCAATTGAAAGAACTCTTCCTCACAAAGAGTTGTGCTGATTCTCTGTGAGTAAATATTGTAGCAGAATCTTCTTGAACCACTGTATAGTGGCAAAGGTCATCTTACATGCATTCATGTACATGTAAGATTAAATACATGTAATAATATGTATTACATATGTGATCTGTATTACATGCACATGTAATCTCCTGTGCATGTGCACAAAAAATTTTTATGTTTCAATCAATTCTTCCGAAATGCTTGTCTTTTYATATTTGTCTTTGGGTGCTAAATATTTGTTGTTAGAGAACATTGAGCTAACATTCAGGACCTTTCTGCTGAGAGAGTTCAATGAAGAAGCATCTACTCAATTTTTCAAATGAAATTATACTTTTAGTAAGGTATTGCAACAGATTTGTGAAACTCCTCATCCGAGGAATGGAGCAGTAGAGCACACATTAACAGTAGATTTTGGTTTCAAAGCTCTTGGTTACTCCCATATGTAAATCCTTTTGGAACTGTCTTTGGGAAAGGTGTGGCCTTACTCCCCTCTGTAGGATGTGTCAAATGCAATCTAAATGTCCTTTTGGACACTTTTCTAGGGTAGCTTCCTTGCCCTCATGTAAATCTTYCCTCAGCACTTTATTTTCTTTAGTCTTTCAGTGGTGAGGTCCAGGCTTTCTGTGAGAAAGAGAAATTAATATTGAGTTTTAGGGAGTTATGAAGGAATTCATAAAGCGTCACGTGAAATATCTTAAGKCATGTTTTCTTCTGATAGAGTTGTGAAAACCATCAGAAAGTGGTGGATGAAATGCACCAAACTAAGTTGGAGCTGTGTGTTTGTGTATCTCCCTGATCAGTGTTCCCTGCTTCTAAATCAAAGTATGAACAAATAAAACTAGCCAGGAGAGGAATAAGAGGAACAGTACAAGAGTAGGTAATAATAAATGCTATACAGAAACCACTGAAAAAGTAGAATGTARAGGCATTAAGCTGTGCTAACCTAGATGAGGAGGAAATAGGTTTATATGTTTTGTCATTAGGCAAATAGAATATAAATATGACAACTAAGGAGTAATTAAAACTGYATAACTTGTTAAGCACTTTTTCAGCTCTTAAATTCAAGTTTGGGTGCATTTTCACTGAYTGCAAAATTGGTCATTCAAAGGACATTAGAGCTTTGGCTACACTGACAGTGTTCTCTCTGTTAGGACTCCTGCAGCATCACTACTACTGTTACGTGAGAGCTGGACCATTGAAAATGTATCTTTACATTCCCCATTTGCATGAACTTYGCAAATTCTTTTTGAGAGGATGCACATCTTCCTTTTCCCTGTTTTGATTGAAGGAAATGGGAAGCTGCCATTGCTTTGCATATGGAGAGGCGTGCTCAGCTCCCAGGCTTGCRCGGTGGCTCACAATATGGACCAGCACTGCTCCTGAAATAAACACATGGCTTTCTAAGAACAGCATGTGTAGGAGAAGCAGCCCCTTCCCCCAGGGGAAGAAGCAAAGATATTTCTCTTGCATTAAGCCCTTAAGCTTATCAGTTTTCTTGATGAACAAAATGCTCACTGAAATATCTTGTGTATTTTTAGTAATTTGATATTCTGCAGAGACTGTTTTGGGAATGGTCATCTTATTTCGGCAGGTTTGGAATGTAGTTGTAATTACTTATATGGAGCATATTTCTTATGTCCTAATTTAGGGCCCCTAAATTTTTTCAATTTTAGTTGATTGTTGGCTGGTTGTGGGCCCCCCCTGCCCTTCCCTTTTTCTTAGACACTAAATTCTGTCATTTCTGAGGGCATATTTGTGACTACCTTTGAAGTGGCATCTCTGGAAAATGATGGATTTATCTGAGCATCTCTGAGAAACAATGACATGCAGTTACAAAACTTCCCAACTTGCCCTTGCTTTCAACTTCCATTTTAGAAGACAGCCTACATCCACTGATTGGCCACTAAAATAAAAATCCACCATGTTTTTTAATGCTGACTTATTTTAATCATTCTTTTTCATGTTGACTCATTTATGAATTAAAAAAAAATCCCCGAACCAACAATAGCTGGTACAGAAGCTGTACTTCTCATAAAATGTGAAGAGCCATTTCAGCAATTCATCTTTATTGCCATGCACTTGAACAATGACTTGATGTTTTACGCTGTGCTTTTCTTACCCATTGAATTGGAAGTAATACTTTTGAAAGGCATGTTGACAGCCAATTAAGTCTCTTAAGTTGTCATGCAACCTAGAGTAGAAGGCACTCCAGAAATGTGGAGAATTGTAGTTCATAATAATACTAGCAGGAGAGGCAAACTTCAATTAGTTCAGAATTCATGCTTAGTTTGGCTGCTTATTTGAGCTATGGCTTGAAAGCCAGTTAGAGTGCTTCTGGTTATCTCTAAGGCTCCTGGAGAAAAATTCATTCAACTCCTGAACTGTAAATCTAAACATCTGTGAGTGGAGGGGGTCAGAGKTATCTCAATACAATTGTCAGTCTGAGATAACAATTGATATTTTTGCATCCTCTTTGGTAACTGGCATGTACAGGTCTGAGGGAATGAAAACAAGGCTTTAGTGAGAGGTGTTCAGTATTACAAAGATAAAAGAGAGGACTGAATAAGCCAGTTCTTTTAATCAATGTTGCTGAAATTAGAAATAAAAGAAGGAAGTCTGGCCAGGTGTCTCTATGTATGTGGGCTGAAAAATCAGTTTCAAAATCCCTGTTCTGACAGTAAAGGAGAAGGTGTTTGTCTGTGAAAGAAACTATAGCAAGGTTGGTCTTAGGGATCTTCTATAACAAGTAGGACATAGAATTGGAGGAAATCTGGGGCACCTGTCTCCAGGGATAGGGAGAGGTCAGCACAGCACCACAGATACGTGCTTGTCTGCCTGGATGGTTCCCAGTGGCAGCTGTCTGCAGCTCAGAATGCTGACCAGACCTCTGTGTGAAATCTGCCCCGTGGATCCTGCTTATTGAGTGTAGTTTTCCTACAGCACTTTGAATGTGCAGACACGTGGGGAACCTAAAAGGTTCAATATCTCAACTCAGCTGTAACAGATGAAGGAGAGCCTTAGCAAAAGCTGTAGCTACCATGCTGCAAGAAGTTTTTAAAACTACTGAATAGCACAGCAGTTGAAATTCAAAGTTCCTAAATACATCTGGATGAGCAGTTAGATGTTAAAAACTTCTARGAATCAGAATGCAGAGAATAATCTTGCTCATAGTGATCTTCCACGGTCTTGAAAAAGGGTCCAGCTACCCAAAAAAAGATAGGTTGTGATGTAATAAGATATGAGTGATGGTACTTTTAGACCAGAATACAGAATGCAGAAACTTCTGAAAAGCAACTCAATCGATCCCATCATCAGCTGAGGACCAGTCCCAAAAAGCAGAGGAAAAAATCCATTTCTTCACAGAAAGCAGCAACTTAGATTTAAAGGTCAGTGTTCATTGGATATTTTACATGGCACTTSGTGTTTCAGTATGATTGCTTGTGTCTAGAAACTCAAAACAGTAGGTTTCACCTTRTGAAATAACTACACAGACCCTTGTACTTGGTGATCTTGGATTTGCTCTGAGTTGCTATGTTTGCCTTTCCAGCTTGAATCCAGGGCAAGTTTCATTTTTTATTCTGTATTTTCCAGAGGCACTTATTTCTGCAAGAAATGGAAAAGCCTGATACTATCCTTTGCTACTAATTACTTTATGTCCATT